AATTGATGGTCTGTTCCACAGTCTGCCCCTGGCCTTGTCTTCACTGATGATATGGAGCTTTTCCATCTTCTCTTTCCACAGATGTAGTCTATCTGATTTCTGTGTGTTCCATCTGGCGAGGTCCATGTGTACAGCACCTTGTTCAATGTAAATCACAGGCCACAAACGTTTACAAAACAATTTCTCTAAAAGGGGCTCTTTCGAGCCCCCTGTGCCAAAGGAACAATCCTCAAGAATCTGCAACAAATAGCACAAAGAGGATGCCACTGTCTCCAAGTCATCGCGTCTACAGCTATGCTGGCTTGCTGACACTGCCTCGGGGCTCTAGCAAACCTGTCAAATGCGCTAACCCGCTGAGCGCTTCGTCTCCTTTCTCCCCAATTTCAAAGTCTCTTGCCCTAGCCTGAGCAAATTTGTCAGCTATGCAACTAAGCCATGGCCATAACTCTATGAAGTCTGTACGCTAGAAACACAGGCGGCCGCTAAGAATACGCCCTTTCTTGGGACGCCGGTAAAGGCAGGTTCCCGCCCAGTGACGTCCTATCCCGACGCAAGGGCCTCTGTAAAGGCAACGCCTGACCGGGCGGAGCTGATACGTGAGCTCCTCCCTCTGGCACCGCCCAAAGGCAACTCTGAGCGCGACGGAGAGACAGCGCGCGACCCAGGGTCCTCGGGTCCTACCTTCCCCGATACTCTGGGCTCTATGGCCCCGCTTTCGGGGGCGTGCTGACCCCGCCACTGCCTCCAGGCCGCCCCCTCTCCCAGCGGCCTTGCCTCAGGGTACGCTGCAGCCACCACCTGTGGACTAGACTCCTGGGGCCCTGCAGGGGATGACACGGCCCGGGAGCCTCGTGCCCTCGAGTTAGGGCGGCGGAGGGACGCTGGGGGATGGAGCGGGGAGCTAATGTCGCGCCAGACGAGTCGCTTTACAACTACGCTGGCTCACGGGAAGTGTAGTGTGACCTTGGTCAGAGACTCTTAAAGCTGTGATTGGCTCCCGGAATGCAAGTCTCTGATTGGACGCAGGGAAGCTCATTTCCCGCTCTTCCTCAAGAGAGCCATCCAGCACAGGCGTTAAGGACAAGTCAAAGGCAGCACGCTGGTTGGGCAATGGAATCCTTGTTCAGGTGTCCCCACCCCGAGTTTCTGGGCTGCTCGTGTCAACCCTGAAGATTCCAGACCTCATTTAATCAAGAAAGACAACACTTTTTCTTACATTCATTCAAAAAACATCACTGATTGCCTCCCCATGTGCCAGGCACTCTGCTACCTTGTGGGAAGAAAGAACTCATACTGCATTAAGGAAACACACATAGGAAAGCATTATTACAAAATCAAAAGACAAATGCAGCCCTCAGACACTATTAGGGAATCTTAGATGAGGTGGAGACATGTGGTGAAAATGAATTTCTTTATGTGGCCTTTTGCTTTGGTTCTGTGGGGAAACAGTTTGAGGGATTTTCCGCCTAATCCTTTTTCCCTAGTTTTCACCCAAGGTTTTGTTACTTTTATCCAGGTAGCTTGACATCTGCTGGATAAACTGCAAACAACTCGTGGTTTGGGACTTTATGTCTTCTCTATTGCAGAGTGGAGGATAGGGGTAAGGGAAATGGGACCAGGAAAAAAAAGACCTTTGCAGTTATCTGAGTGAGAAAATGGCTGAAAGCAGTCAGCAGTAATGTATAGGAGAGAAGAGGACAAATTGAGAAGTGCTATTTATAGTATTGTAGCACTGCAGGGTAAGCACTTGCTAACCACAAGGTTGACAGTTCAAACTCACCAGAAAGTTTGAGGGAGAAAGGTGAGGATTTCTGCCACCATGAGACTTACAGCCTTGGAAACACTACGAGTCAGAATCACCTGGATAGCAACGGGTTTTGTTTGGTGTTTTTATTTTATTTAAAAAGAAATAATGACAGGACTTGATGACGATAAGTGAAGGGTCAAAATGTGGGCGGAGTCGGGGAACTTTGGGGCAAGATGGTGGAGTAAGCAGATGCACTGAGTTATAACAAAGACATGGGATACCAAGTGCAACAGCTACAGATGATCCCTGACCCCTGAGCATCAGAGGATAGGACAGAGGTGTCAGAGGAAGATGAAAAGCAGCAGTAAGAGAGAAGAAAAACAAGTGGATATGGGTTGGCGTGGAGCAGGTCAGCCATCTGGAGTTTCTGTTATAGGCTGTTGGCACAATGGCCTGCAGGCACAGGATGCAGGTGGACATTGGTGGCAAGGGGGTGCAGTTCTCCCTTGTTCCCAAGCCTTCCTGGTAGCCAGGGGCATAGCCAGTCCTCACCCTCGTCAACCCAGTGGTCAGTGGCACACCCTCCTGTTCAGCCTCTGCTTTGCCTCGGGCCGGGCACTAGGCATAGCACCCCTGCTTCTGGAAGTTTCTGGACCCACCCTGAATCATGCTACACAAACAGCGAACAAAGAACTGTGTTCACACTTTCAGTCTCTACCACATCCTCCAGAAAACAGGTGGTGAATGCCTGAAAACACATCAATATACAACCACCAATTAAATATTAGGAGGCCTGGTGTGGTGCTGAAGGATAATGTGCTGGACCACAAGGTCATTTTGAACCACAAGGTCAGCTGTTAAAACCCACTAGCTGCTCCTCAGAAGCTCAATACAGGGTCGCTATGGGTCAGAATCGACTCAGCCGCACTTAACAACAACATGATACCACAATATCTAGAAGAAAATACACAATTTCAGCTTACATGAAAAAACAAGAGAGAGTGCTTTAAACAAGTGACCTAAATAAAGTCAGAAAATATACCACCAGAAATGGTATCAGAACTACCTGATAAAGAATTGAAAAGAATGCTATTTAGGCAATTTCAACCTACTGAGAGAATGCTTAAGAAAACTTCAGGTGAAATCAAGGAAAACGTAGACAAAACTATAGAAGTATTCAGGAAACAAATGAACAAAATGAATGAAAAATGGAAACCAGCCAAAAATAGCAATTAGAAAGCCAGAAGATTAACACTAAGACTTCAGAATAATATGCTGAAAGGGCAAAGAAGTAGAATTGAATCAGTGGAAGGCCTAATTGCTGAGCTTGAAGAAAAATCTCTCATTATTCATCTGCTGAGGAACAGTCAGAAAAAAAAGAACAAAAAAATACAAAGAAAACCTAAGATTTATGTGAAACACTATCCAGAAGAATAATTTACATGTGATTAGAATTCCAGAACAGGAAGACACAAAATTTTAAAAGCATAGAAAATATTTATTATCTAAGAGTTGTTAGAAGAAAACTCCCCTAACATCATGAAAGATGAGAAGATTGCCAAGAATCATATTCAGCAAAATTATCCATCAAATATGATTGTGAAATTAGGTCATTTTCACATAAACAGAAATTAAAAGAATTTGCAAGTAATGGGGATCTTACAAAAAAAGGCTAGCTGGAGTTCTTTGGACAACAACCTGAAATTAACATACATGTCAATATCACCTGCCCCAACCCAGATACAGAAGTATCCAAAGTAAAACAGACCTACAAGACTGAAAATAGAGAGCCAGAGTTAGAGCTGCAACAACAAAAACAAAGAGATTAAACAGAGGGAATGATGTTGTCACAGAGCTTCCAAAAAACAAAAAACCCTAGAATTGTACCTAGAAATAAAAACAAAAAGGGGAAGGAGTCAAGCTTGATTCTCAGCTTCTATCCTGGATGAATGGGTGAATGTGATGACATCACTATTTCTTTATTTGATAAATATTCGTTCAGCATCACCATTGTAAACTAAATTAACATGGACCAAATAAACCAAATGGACCCGAACCAAAGAAAACTATAGGTCACTACTACAAGCACCCTAGCATCGTGGATTATGAGCTGGGCTGCTAACCACACGGTCAGTACTTTAATCTACCAGTCGTCCCTCAGGAGAAAGACGAGACTTTCTGCTCCCGTAAATATTTACAGCCCAAGAAACACTATACAGGGGTGCCTAACCACCACCACAGGGTACCATGTTGTTGTTGTTAAGTGCCATTGAGTTGATTCTAACTCATATCACCCCTCTATAGGGTATCTGAGGAGCTACTGGTGAGTCTGAACTACCTACCTTTTGGTTCAAATCGACCTTGCCATCTAGTGCATTATCCTACAGCACCATACCAGGACTCCATGCTACCATGGGACTTACAAAAATGAAAGAAAATACCATGATCATTGGAAGGAAGACTTTACCTTGTGAAAATGTCAACACTACCCAAAACAATCTATAGATATAATGCATTCTCAATCCAGGTCCCAATATAATTCTTTGTTATTGTTGTAAAACGCCATTGGGTCAGTTTTGCCTCATAGTGACCCTGTATAGGGTTTCCGAGGCTTTAAATCTTCTAGGGAGCAGAAAGCCTTATCTTTCTCCTGCAGAGTGGATATGGCATGCTCAAACCAAGAACCTTGCGGTTCCAAGTCCAGTGCTTATATGGAGCCACTTACATTCCATATCATTCTTTAAAGGGATGGAAGAACTGATCACTAACTTTGTATGGAAAGGAAAGAGATCCCAGAAAAGAAAAACATTACTAAAAAAAAAAAAAAAAGAACAAAGTAGAAGACCTCTCACTTCCCCACCTCAAAACCTACTACACAGCCAGTTGTCAAAATAGCCTGATACTGGTACAACGAAGCACATATAGATCATTGGAACAGAATTTAGAACCCAGACGTAAACCCATCCATCTATGCTCAGTTCATCTCTGACAAAGGACCAAGACTGAAGCTAATGAAGACAATTTTATGGAGTGAAACCTAACAGGGGCAAGTCTTAGATTTACCAATACAATCCACGGAGCATGGCCCAATGAAAACAATGGCTTCTGAAAGGATTTAAATTCATGGCAGAGAGGTCAGCTCAGAATGTTGTATTGTTGTCAGGTGCCATCGAGTCGGAACCGACTCATAGC